GACAAATGTATTGGCCTTAGTCGCTTGATTTTTCGGTCCTTGCTCGGCCTATCCCCCCCCCTCCCCAGCCATAGCTACACCTCGAGCTTTTCGCTTTGCCCCCTTGTACGTGCGGTGTGCTCTGTGAAAAGCGGTTTCGCTGCTGCTGCTGCTGCTGCTGCTGCTGTTCCTATCGCCATAAACTTTTCTTTTCCTAACGAATCACTCTAACGGAAGAAATTAGCTGGGGCGTAACAGCAGCGTTGAACCCTTGTGGGACGGTGGCACATTGCCCACAACAGTTAGGACCAGCTACCACTGAACCTCGTCTCTAAATAGCAGCAGCAAAAATAGTTAGTACCCACTGTATGTCTGCGTCGTCGCGCACTCTTGTTCTTCCTCTGGTTTGTGGCAAGCAATTTCTACGTTGACTTGTCATTTCTTGGTTTTTATCACTATCTTTATTTGAAATATGCCGCTTCACATTACTGCCTTAATGCGTGTTTACTAATGGAGTACTCCAGGAAAGGCTTTGCTTAAAAAGCTAGCAAACAATATAAGCCAAGCCGACTATTTTTTCGAGTATAAAGCTTTACCTTAATCTTCCGTAGCAAATCGGATCGTAGCATGAGGAATAACATTCGTATCTAAATAGCTGTTCTTATATATTCGTATTGTGCACTTTGAAACGTTTTATTAAATCTATTGTTATCATACCGAAAGCTTATTGTGCTGTGAAGCGGTAGGTTTGCCGAATGGCGCACGACGCGTGTTATTATATTTACTGATATTGAATATAATTAAAAATAGCTATTTTGATTCGCCGTTCGATAATAACTACTGATCGCTAGCCAAAGTTTATCGACTGTTGGCTATTTATACAGGCCAATTTGAATGTTTATAAACACCAACATTAGACAGGTGCCAAAAAGAAATCTATAAAATCGATATACAAACTGTTAGAATGTCGAAGATAGTTGTGGATGGCTTTAATGCAATCTGTTATATATGTAGAAACAGCAGTAGAATTGCATTTCTTACATCTGTATTTGTGTTGCAAATCTTTTATAACTTTGTCATAGGTTATTGTTAGGTGCCACTACACCTTATGTGCTAGACGGTTTCGTTTGAAACCATCTTTACAGGCCGAAGGAATCTATTTCGCTTGGTAATAAATACATTCTTAAGACAATGTTGAACTCTGAACAGGCGTGGCCTCTCACAAACAACACTTTGTATCATAGTTGCTCAACGAACCTCACTCGCACGTGTTTTGTAAAATTGCATCGTCTCTGCATGATGCACTACTGAGTAAACGTCGATTGCTTGATCACCTCTACGCTTATGCCAAGAAATCAGAGAATAGTAAACCAATAGATGTTTCAAGATTCAGGCCTGATTTAAGCCTGAGTTAAACAGTCCTGCTTCAGGCGACTGATGGCCCTCTTTCCAACCCGAAACGAAGCAAACTTGCACCGACTAGCATAAGTTTAAAACCTTCAAGTTTAGCAGGCAAACACTTCGCCATTGCGCCTCGATAAGGACAAGAAAGGAACGACTAGCAACGCCTTAGGTCAACGACAGCGTCAGAAAGCTTAGCCATCCACACAGCTTTAATTTAGATTTATTCATAATGCAAGTAAGTACATATTTTATAATTGGTTGAATAAAATCTTTGTAGCTGAAGTGTGGTTTTTTGTTGAACAGCTGCTCTCGTTTCCGAGCACAAAGCAAATTGTTTATTTTATGACCCAAAGTGAAGCCAGCTTGAACGTGACTTCTTGAAGCTTTGCGAGCTGTCGACGAAGTAAGGCGACGAGCCTTGTTACTAGCACAGTTACTGACCACAATGTTAAGTTACATTCAATAGGACTACAAAAGTCTATTCCGTATATCATCTAATGTCCCTTTATGAAGTGTTATGTGTATCTAAGGGTCCATAAATCATATCACGTCAGAAGGACACAAACGACACAGACTGATTTGCGTTGCTTAGTTTTGCTCAAATGTTTACATACTTCACTGTTGCTAGTAGGTTGGATCATGTCTACAACTTGAAATAGTAGATACAGAATCAGACAGAACTTAGAGAGCCCTCACTATAAGTTAGTTCGGATATTACTGCGTGAATTTGTGTATCTTACGACTATATGGACTAGTACACCGCTATATAAAAAGCATCGAGAGGATGTTAAGCTAAGCTTAGTAACTATAAAAAGTATTCGTAATATTATGCGAATTTATATAAATATTATTTGTTTTTATGCATTGTAATGAGCTTTACGCGAGACAAATACATATAATCAGGACAGTCAGTAGAAAGAAAATGATTCGATTAATGTATGGTTTTTATGCCTACTGTTATCGTCAGTTCCCCCTACTGGCTGTTTTGCAACACATAACTAAGTTACGCCGCCATTTTAATAAAACTTGTGCGGATTGTGTTGCCATCAACTTGCACGTGAAATGTTTCATTTTTCCATTGATTATTGATTCAGTATCACAATATGAGTATGTTAATTATGACCTGATGTTACTAATGTTACGAATATAACAGAATTTGTGGCGGGCTACCCAGCCAGTATCATTTTTGCGCTGTAATGCTGCAGTTATAATTATTATTATAACTTATTATAGTGTTATTACTATTATTTCATAGTAATAGTGTAGACAGCATAAAGCTGCAAAAACAACTTTTCAATGAAAATAGCTTTACAGAAGTATTCACGAGGTTCGGTCTGCCGTAAGCACATGACAAGGCTTAATACTTTGCATGACGTGAGGCCTCACAGCCCCACCGTCTCCAGTCGATTACTTCACGCACCATTACTTCGTAGAGAGACTACTTTAAATACACTATGGGAGGGAAGTGTAACAATATGCTATTCATTGTAAGTATATATATATATATATATATATACATCGCACTAATTCTGTAGTTCTGCTACGAAGAATCGCTTGTACCAGCACCGGTAGTCTATATACAAAGATACACGGCCATGGTAAATCATAAATCAGAAGTCAATCAGTTGTTTGTAGCTTAAATTAAATACAGGTTCCTTCAGCTTTTTTCCATGGCGCTTTCTTTTCTACTGAATAATAATAATCAACTAAGAAAAAAGCAAATGTCACGAGAAAGCGGATGGCTACCATTTTTCAGAGCCTTAATCCACTGGTAGAGCGGTTGAAAAGCTATAAACAGTATTTACAGTTCTTGGAATTACGCTGCGCTAAATTATATTGAATTATGAATGTGTCTGGTACATATAAGTGTGTTAGCCCCGTTCTGCACAAACTGTGTGCACTGCAGACCGTTACTGCCAGGAATGAAAAAAATACCACCCTCGGTCGGTAATGATGGTCAAATATTTGTTTCCTCGGAATAACGAACATCTAAGGAATATCCATGAAGCAAGTTCCAATAGTATTACTTAGGACTGTTGCAATCCGTTTAATTGCAAGAAAAAGTAAATCCGAGTTGGTCTGTAAATGTAAAAAATCTTTGAATACGTACGAACGATGGCCCTTTAAAACTAATGAGCGATTTTGCCGAGTAACATTATTTTTTGTTTCGGATCTAAATAAAAACCAATTATGTATTTGCTTAAGCAAACATTCGTCGGTTAGATAACAATCAACTTGATCTTTTACCACGGGGAATGTATATATCAATATATTTTCTGTTAGAAATCAGCAATAACTTGCTGGCAGAGCTGTAAAAGCTTCTCTTTTGTACACTTGGAGGGTGAACCATTGCAGATTCAGGGCAAAATTATTGCTATCTCAGACCAGATACGTTCTTGCTGCTTTCATTTGACTCTCTCACTATCTGAGAGATAGGTTTACAATATCTCTGTGCACTATGATTGGAATTATTTTTCTGTCCGTTTCAGTTTTAATTGGATTAGTCTTTGTTGTTGCAGTAATACCTATAACCATCTTTTTTTTTTAAATCATAAAAATCCGAATCGTTCGAATACGTCCAACGCCTAATGATTTACGCAAGTCTACCGTATCTACATATGTAGACGTCTCATTGATCGGTGGCTGAGAAAACAAATGAAATGTCTGGTGTTTCTAGTGCATCAACGCCACTTCAGTAACTTTGACGGTTACCAAAAAAAGAAGTGAGTATTATATCAAATAACAAACTTTTTCACCTTGAGGGTGAGACACTTCAGCCGCAAGCCGTGTTATATTCGAACTATTAGATAATATAGCAGAACATAATAGTGATATATTATGCTCTATTTATACGAATTCATACCTTAATAAATCGTCAAAATAAATCTGAACCACTTCGAATGTTCCTTTATGCAGAAATCTGTTTGAGAACGGAGAAAAGGTTCTCATCCCTCAACGAATTCACAGAATCCAAAAGCTATCTAAGGCAACCATTAGTATTTGCATTGCTTTTATTTATTTGAGTTTTCATCGATTACCATTAGGGACCCAGTGAAAACACTGTGTGTAAATAAAAAAAAATTGGACAAAAATCGGCCCAACAACGACGATATTGACAACTTATAAGAGCTGTACGCAGCTCGTGCAGATGACATGTTCTATTCATAGGATTGGCACATCTCGGTCGCTAAATAGATAAAAGGCAATTTCACTTAGATAAATAGTGACCACCGATACTGCTGCATGTAAACATAATATACAGCAGAACAATTTTATAAATCGCTTTCACATAGTTTTCGTCGTAATGACAAAGATGCAACTATGTAAATTGACATATGCGCTAGCTTGAATTGAATTGCGTTTCAGCCCCACGTCACAGGTGAATCCCTTATCTCAGCTTTGTTGGTATGCAGCAGGAAATTAGCACCATGATAATAATAGAAGTTCGCGGTCTGTCGTTTGAGTATTTAATATGGCGTATACTCTCACCCCCATCGGGTTGGTGTATACCAAACCGGGTAGAACGAGTCGTCAGCCGTTCCCAGCTGCATTAAAGCTTGTTTATCCGCTGCGCCTTTCTCTCTTCTGGTGCTGACGGCGAACAGAAGATGGAAAGGCCACTGACGTTACAGCAGAAGATCCATGAAGACAGCTTCTTTTGTAGACAAACTGACCAGGAGCAGCCGGAGCCGACGAATCACAACGTAGGTCCGGTCATTGTTCCTGTGTTGATGTGTTCTAGATCTGATGAAACTGTGTTGTTCGTATTTTTCGCTAGTGTCAAACTTCATAGAGCTAGCTGATTGAAAAACTGATAACTAGTTGGTTTTATTTGCATCTACCTAATTATCAAGCGTGTGAAGATTCAAAGCCTTAGGCTATTGAGTTTTTAGTAAAGTCTACCTGTCCTCTTGGATGGCGTGAAAGGTGGAGCAACATAATGGTGCCTTTTCAGAAGCTATTAGAAGAATGAATTACTGACCATACGATTCGATTGCAATCTCAATCGCTCGTGAAACATGGTACAAAGCCATATGAGAACTGGCCTGAAGTATGACAAGTACGATGAGTGTCGATCGGTTTCCAGCTGATGGCTAGACGATTAATGACTAGACGAGCGGTACAAAGGCGTGACTCAAGTTGTCAACGTCAATAAAGTTAAAAAAAAATGTTTGAAAATTGCTGCAAACGCCACTGGCAGTGGACTCTCGGGGCGATCATACTAGTTTCAATAGCTACTAGGTTATACAAGATTCAAGAGCCTGAGCACGTTTGCTGGGATGAAACTCACTTCGGCAAGATGGGTTCGTGGTACATTAATAGGACATTTTTCTTTGACGTGCACCCGCCACTAGGGAAAATGCTAATCGGTTTGGCTGGCCACCTCACTGGTTACAACGGAACATTTCCATTCAACAAACCCGGCGACAAGTATTTCGATACACCATACCTCGGTATGAGGGTATTCTGCGCCTTACTTGGTGCTGCAATACCTCCGTTGGCATTTATCGCTGTCGGCAGTTTGACAAAGCGTATATCAGCGGCCATTCTCGGCTCATCGTTGCTTCTCTTCGATGTTGGTATGATCACTTTGACTCAGTACATCCTTCTTGACCCACCGCTTTTGTGCTTCATTATCGGAGCTTTCGCGTCAGCCGTTAGCCTGCAACACTTCGAGCCGTTCTCCCGAACCTGGTGGGGCTGTTTAACGTGTACAGGGACATTTTTGGCATGTGCCATCAGTGTGAAGTTCGTAGGCCTGTTTGTGGTGCTCACAGTAGGCGCGCATACCGGTTGGAATCTGTGGGATCTACTGGGTGATCTCAAAGTGCCACTCTCGAAGCTTCAACGCCATTTTCTTGCACGGGCTCTTTGCCTAATCATATTGCCGAGCATTTTGTATATATGCTTTTTCTACATCCATCTGCATCGTCTGTCGAAGTCAGGTAATGGTGATGGCTTCTATAGCTCGGAATTTCAGGCCAGGTTGGAGGGCAACTCGCTGTACACAGCTAGTATGCCACGGCAGGTTGCGTACGGCGCTAAAATCTCTCTCAAGAATCATCGAACAGGAGGAGCGTATCTGCACTCACATTTTCATCTGTATCCTGAAGGTGGGAGTCTAATATATTCAATTGCAAATGTAGTTCGCTTTTTGTACTCGAAACTTACTTCGTAAATAGAGCACTTGTGCGGTTGTTTGCTGATAGCACAGAGCAGCGCCCAGGTTTTGTGCTGAATAAATGTTCTATTTATCTCACGACTGCTGAATGCTTGCATAGCTCAGAATAGCTTTGCTGAGAGAGTGAAAAAAAAAATTTACTATTAACGATTTTATTTGTAACATATTTGTCAGGGAACTTCATAAAATCACAGTATAATCACTATACAAAAAATGCAAGATCTAAAAAGATACATATAATGTTGTAGATTATTCGGGAACCATACAATTTACATAGCTTTTGTGCGAATATTAGCTTGATTTTTATAGGGTGCCTTTAGTGAGCACTTATCAACATCTGAGATCTACAAACGATAATCCATAGCTTAATACAGCATCTGTGCTGCTACTTGATAGGAATCGGTGCCCGACAACAACAGGTAACAACATATTCTCACAAGGATGAGAACAATCAGTGGCTGATAAAGCCGTGGGATCGCGAGGTTCAAGAGAATGATACAGTTATACTTCTCAAGGATGGCGATTTACTCCGTCTGGAGCATACACAAACTAGCAGAAATCTTCATTCTCATAGGTAAGACTTACAGTGTCAAACAATTTTTTGTTCTATTTACTATCTCCCAAGTAAACACATCGTTAGCACGATTGCTTCAGTACGCTATTTTCGTTTCCTCTACGAAATCAGTTACCACATTGATGCGCGAGTCTATTTAAAATCATTAGTAATTGGAGAATCAATAGAATACTCAATTTGCAGGGAGGAAGCTCCACTAACAAAGCGTCACAATCAGGTCACATGTTATGGTGAAAAGGGTGTTGGCGATGCCAATGACGTCTGGCGACTTGAGGTTGTAAAGGGTGCAGGGCCAAATGGTGAGGTCCATACTGTCACTACAAAGTTTCGACTAATACACTATTTAGCGAACTGTGCTCTGCTGTCGCATAACAAGCAGCTTCCAAAGTGGGGTTTTGACCAAATGGAGGTACGTTAAAATATCTACAGTGTTTATTTATTCCTTACAAAATTATCCATCACAAAGCTATCTCACCATTTGAAGTTCGATATAATTTTTTACAATCATGGATTTTAAGAGGTCTAACAATCTATTTTAATAACTTTTTTCTTTAGGTAACATGTACACCAAATAAAAGAGATAAGAATGCAGTCTGGAATGTTGAGGATAATTGGTTCTCGAAGTTACCGAGTGAGTCATTTGAGAGATATCGTCCTGGATTTATTCAAATGTTCTTTGAATCGCACGCTGTTATGCTGCAGGTAATTAGCCCGCTGTACATACACACACTGCAATGCGTCTGACCCAGATGTCAGTGATATATTGGCATTTTTTGAAAACAACATCAATATTTAGTACAGTAGTTAGCTGCACAAGTGCAATCCTCTTTTTTTTTGCCCATTAACTGCATCAGTAAACTCCATCAGTCAGGAGAAAAAATAAGTAGTTCTTATTTTATTTCTTGTTTTGACCAGGGTAACGCGGGACTTAAGCCAAAAGAAGGAGAGCTGACGTCACGTCCTTGGCACTGGCCAATCAACCTTCGCGGTCAGTTCTTCTCCGGCTTCGAGTACCGCGTCTACCTTCTAGGTAATCCACTAATCTGGTGGAGTAATCTTATCCTGCTCGGCGTCTACTTTGTGCTCCAGACTGGTGTTCTAGTGCTTGGCCAGCGACGTGGTGACAACGACGTTCACTATTTGACATCATCGTGTCGCTGGCTTCTGCTTGGTTGGGCTGTTCACTACGTCCCATTTTACGCAATGGGTAGGGTACTTTATTTCCACCATTATTTTCCGGCATTGATGTTCAGCTCGATGCTATCTGGTGTTGTGATCGATTACGTCATAACTCTGTGTATTCCGACTAGACAGCGGCACTGGGTTATAGCTGGGCTACTATCAGTGATTGTATACAGCTTTAGCTTATTCTCCCCCTTGGCCTACGGTATGCAAGGGCCTCCAGCAAATCTTCCTAATAGCACAATGCACGGACTTAAATGGCTCGACACATGGGAATTTTAGATTGTTAGATTTTTTCAAAGATTCAACTGTGCAGTGAGAACGTTGTAGAACGCTACGATAAAAATCTCGCTTTTGTCACCTAATGAAACGTATCTCGAACAGTACAATGGAATATATTAACATGAAGCTCGCATGTGATTGGTCATAATAGAAGAGACTAAGAAAATTTTATACAGGTCAATGCAACAAGACGAAATTGCGATCGAAGCTGTGAAATGAAACGACGACCGCTATAATAAATAGTTTCAGTATGTATATCATTATTTAATTATCCGACTGTTGATTATACTAATGCAAATGTAAGAACAGAAATGTACATGGTCAGAAATTAGCACATAAATATGGTGTCCGTCAAATAGCTAGATATCTGCCCGGTGGCGCTATCAGAGAACAACCGCTAAAAAACACTCATAACGGTGCAACTCTTGCAGCAGACCAGAAAGCAATGATAACCCCTGTACTATATACCCACATTTATATTTTTACTGACTTCGTACGAAGGTATATCTCTACACAACGGGTATGTATACTATGCCGATTTTGGAAATAAAGACAAGATTTTTATATAGAAATATTTTTAAATAACTTAATCAATTTCGTTATTATTTCACCATACGATAAGAGTTTTTTGTTATTCTTGTAGTCGAACTAGGTGAGTGTAGTGTTACTTATAAAGCGCTGAACCAATACAAGCCTAGTGATTACAGCTCAATTGATTTGCGCTATATATTTTTCATTACATAACTTATTAGCAAACCTTTATTAGTCCCACTCATTGCATATATATGTTTCTTTTGACACACAGCTGTTTTAAGACACGCATCAGCTAGTCTAAATTTTATTATACATAAACAACTATCAGTATTTGCTTTGCCCATGTTAACGTGGTTGCGCTGCCAGCATGGTTTTCATCATACACAGATTGCTCTACGGCATCATTTTTGTTCATCTACAATACAAAACAAACAAAAGAGAAAGAACGTCACATATATCGGCTACTTTTTATATCTCACACATGTATTCACACACAAACTGAATCTTCATCAAATAGAAGCTAAGGCAGTGAACCAATCTTGTCAATTATCACATCTTCCTGTGTAGATGTGACCTGCTAATTTGAATAAGTCAAACAACTTTTATGAAATATTGTACATTCAGGTATGCTTATTATACATTACTTACGTTTTTCAAGCTACATAGTTCCCTTCAAATTACATATGAAAAAACGTACTAGTTCCATGCTAAGCTTTATGATTGTCGAGAATATAGCCTCGAAGAACCACCGCGTTGATCTTCGCAGATTTACCGTTGTTTTTTGCATGCCCTTTAGTCTGTAGGTAAGCCACTTAGAAAAAGTTAGAAAAAAAATTACCCCTCTAAAAGCCTTGGAAAAAGTCGACCTTTAAACAATGATTTTGCTACTATTTGCCTTTAGGAGGTGGATCAAGTGTTGTCAGTGTGACTCGCTTCTCGTCTTTGACATCAACGGCCACGACTTGTTGTGGGGTATTCAGAGTGGCAGATTTTTTTTGTTGTGAGGGCGACTCTTTTGCCAACTCTTTTTTCTTTATGCCAGTTATTGCTGTCGTTAGCGTCATAGACACATCCTTATTTTCCTTTTCCTTGGCGGGGCTTCCGTTCGGCGTCGCTTTTCCTTCCGAATCGTTTCCGTCTCCACTATGTTGCGTATCGTCGAGGTTGACATTATCGACATCATCGTCCATGTCGTCGTCGACGTCCATCATCTCTTCTTGATCCGGATCCCCATCGCTAGCCTCTTTCCTCTCTCCCCCTGAATCGTCCTTTTTCTTGGGTGCTTTCGTACGTTTCCGCCTTGTTAGAACATCTTCAACTACATGGATATGAGGTAAATCACCTTGGTACTGCTCTCCAAGTTCTTGGCCCTCAAAAAACATAAACGAGCAATAGCCATCTGTCGAGGACGCCATTAGCGTGTGATTGTCAGGCGACCATGTCAAGTCGCTGATTCGTGCATAGTGTGCGTCAGAGATCATAGCGAAAGGAGTGAAGGTCTCTGTATCGCAAACCAGAACCATGTTTATCGTTGCTGCAGCAAATACCATACGATAAGGGAGTACTACGGCACTGCCACTAGAGTGTCTCGTCTTGTAGAACTTATTTGAAAAACGAACAACCGTCGTAACCTGTTTGTCGGTAGGAATTAAAGCCACCGGTTTGGAAAAGTTCGACCTGTGGAATACGTAGATACAGTTGGTGATTTGGCCGTTATTTTCTATGACGCCAGATGGCGCTACAAGGAATTCACCATCAGGGGAAAAATCTGGCCGTCGGCAAAATGATTTTAACGTGTCATCATGGAAGAGGCGCGTCGACAAGCTGAAATAGAAAACAAACAAAATGTTACCTAAATAGAAGTAGGCTCATCATCATCATAGCATCATGTAATAGTTCTACAGAAATATAAATTTATCGTGCGGTAGTCCTTTGGTTATGGAAATAAGGTACTATACAATTATATTTTCGAAAATTGCCGCGTAAAAAGCGCCCTAGCTAATAAAGATGCATGGCATGGATCAACATTTTATGCTCGTCAACCGTTCTAAAATCTCTAAAATGCTTCAAACCTTGCCGATGACACACAAATATTATCCAAATTTATCGAACAAAATAGTATAAGCTGTATCGTAAAATAGCATATATATATCTTTCAAATGACAAGTTTTAGTTCTGCATGATTTCCTCCTAGATGGTTTTAGTGGTAACACTACTGTCGATTTACACCGTTGGTTACAGTTAGGGTTACTTACACCTCTCTATCGCCATTCTGGGGTATTTCGGCTTTGGCGGCAACCCAAATCTTTTTTCGTGTATCTGTCGAATAGACGTACATCTGCCGATCAGAACTAAGAGCTGCTACAAATCGCCCTCTCGGATCATAGGCTACACCCTGAATGAAACCTTTCCTCTCTTTGAAAAACCCTAGTGAGCGGCCTGTTGATACGTCCCATAGGATGCTTGCTGAATCAATGGAGCCCGATATCAGACAGGAATCTCGAGGAGACCATTGCAGGTCGCATACGTCCTCGATATGACCACGCAGTACCTAATGCAGGCCAAGCACAGAAAGTAAACTAACTAATTAATGATTTACGATATACCAATTTGGGTATAAGCTTAGCATTGGTTTATATTTTCCGAATTATTGGATATAGATAAAATGAGACAAAATCTCTAAAGCCTTGATTCTTAACAGTCTGTGCCTGCTAATTGCTGTAAAATTTGTCAGTCACTTTCCAACCGGTAGACCTGTCCCAACTGTCTGTTGAAAACCGAATTCAAATTATAGGCACACTTTAGATGTACACCTCCTACGTCTGATAAGCCTTTCTAATAAGCGTAATTGATTTATTACCTTGTAAACCTGCCAGTTTTCCTTGTTTTCGCTTGCATCAAATAGCTGGGGAGCTCCATCAAATGAACTTTGTAGCTTCCATAGGATAATGTTGGCTTCATCGTCACCTGACGCGAGGATTTCTCCTGTATGTGAAAACCGCACGACGCTAACCGTCCGCTGGTGCCGGGTCAGATCAGCGCGAAGTTCAATATCAATCTGAAAATAGTGCACGAATAATTTTTTTTTATATATGTAGAATTTCTAATACAGAGCTAGATTGAAGTACTTGCATTACAATGAAAATCGTATATTAGAGTTGGTTTTACCCTTCAAACACGAGACGGCTTTCAGCCGTTTCAACGACATCCTCAATTCGAGTCGGCCGGTTATTGACCGACACTTAGTGGCCGTATAAAGACTTACAAAAGGGTTTTTTATTGGAAGGAGAGGCACCACCCGCCATGATACAGATAATAAAAATATTACTACAAATTAACGCTAAATTGAATAACCAGACCTAATAGCTCGACAGGTCTACGTTTCCGACTCCGTACGTATCTGTTTAGAATTATTATTTATCTAGCATTGTCTCTTATATTAATGACTTTTCAAACACCGGTATATTCAACTTTTGTTTATAAATTCGTATAATGTATGAATAGTCGCGCAATAGTAACATGGTAGCTCCTGTCCCGAGATAAAACGAATGCGCGCTGTATAGCCTAATCGACATATCGGTAATATGACAGTTATCACGCATGAACACTCGCGACATCGCCCTTGCGATAAAAAAAGTTCTAAAGTCTCGTCCGTGGTCCGATATAAAACCAAAAACCACTGTAGACTACAATGCTACTCTAAAAGCACATTAAGACATTGTCTCTATCTATGGAAACGCTCAGAAAAAAAGACTTTGCTAAAAAATAACAGACGTTGCTTTTCATACGCTCGCGTGATGAAAGCAGATCCTTAAGAGTGGGTTATCTCTCATGAAAAAAAGCCAAGGGTCGTCCCTATATAATGTTCGATCGTATTTTACCGTTTGTTGTTTATTTCATATTTATAAACTCATTTAAGTTATTTCGCAAGATATGTAACGGATATATCGACTTGTAACGTCGTACTTCAAGGCATGTTGTTAACTTTACATTATAAATGATTATACGTCGACTTACAGCAAGTAGACCGACTCTGCGTGAAGCAGCTTGTTGTCTCACAAGAATAATTGTCTCAGAAAGGGTACTTTTCTTAGCCTGCGGCCTATATCACCCTAACAATCAAGATCGCTACTATTGATGTTTTTTTAGCAGTCTATTAGATATCGCGCACGATCAAATCACCTACCTTATCTCTGTCCTTGGCTTTTTTCGGTGAATCTAGCACTGTTAAGCCGCTGTTGGTGCTTGCAGATGGTTCGATATTCTTCGGACTGCTTTCGGTCGGTTGTCGTTCGACTTCAAGTTTAAGCCACCACACTCGAACGTGTGTATCGGTGCCGCACGTAGCCATCCGTAAAGAGCCATCTTCGTTGGCCGGCTGGAAATCGACACTGAACAGTGGGCTAGTGTCGAGCCACCAGGCTAACTGCGGCACGACACACCTCATCCCCTGCTTTCCAATACTTGGTCACGCTCTTTTAGCTTCGATTTAAGCACTATTTTAGCTTTCACTTATTAACTTCAATTCACACGCGATACTATTGTCTAAACACTTCAGATGGATACACACACGCACATATGCACAGACTCACTCGATAACCTGTCTACCGTTTAAAAGCGAGTGAATGGTGATGAATAAATGCTCTTGATACACACCCTAACTGTCTCGAAGTAAAATAGTACCGAAAAACAGAACGTCGGTTAACACTTCACGCTAGGGCTCTGATGTGGGCTTGACAGGACACGTTCAAAATTACATAGAATACTCACGTTACGCAAAGAGACACGACCGTATTCCACAAATCGCCAAGCTTGTTGCATTCTCGGTGACCGCCAAAAGCATTCCCGCTGTCGTCTGCCCGGGACTAAAAACTTCCGGGTGCCGCTTACGCATTCGCGAGCTCCCGGATATCTTGCGGCAATTAGGAGACTTTAACAATGGTTTTCATGAAGGACCCAGTCAGCAAACCACCATGTTTCATGACAACTGCAGTAAAGTGCCAAGCACCCCGGAGATCCTAAAAAACAGCCGCTGAGTACTGGTGTAACGCACTTTTCAGAGTGGACATCCGTGCACATGCAAACAAGATGGCGACACCCATGAGCAAGGGATCGACTGTGTGACGGGAGCGCCCGTGTCGCGCGAGGTAAATACTGTATTCGCGAGTGGCCGCAAGACCAACTAGTATTCATCCATATTCAACAGTTCAGTGAACACCTGATGTGATGGCTCTTAGAAGATGCACCATCTGTGCTCATAGTAGCTTCGACGTTCAGCGATGGCTGTGACTCAATTAGCATTAACAAGGGTTGAGCAGAGTACCGGGATCGGGATGGGGTGGATTGCCTCTTAGGAGTACTGATAACCGTCTGTGCAAGTGCTGTTGTGTACAGTCAAAGTTATTACACGCAGCGTGAGCTCTTTGTCGCTCGACCCGACACGGTTGGATATGGTGAAGTGGATGTGTTCTGGACACTCTGTCATATCGTCGTTATGGCAAATAATGGTATGGTCATGGAAAACGAATTTTCAGTTCCAAAAGGTGAATCCGAATAATCAAATTGATTGCGTTCTTAACGAAGAAAAAAGAAGCATATTACTACGCAGTAGGTGTATTCTCCTGCATCTGCCACGGCGGGGGCGCGGTCTATGCTATTGTTATATAATCAATAGCAAAAACCTTTGTTGGTTTTGGTATTGTTTCTCCAAACTCTTGCTCTGCGCGGATCTTCACTGTACAAAAATTATGAAAAGTAGGTGCGGGCCACTGCTTGTGACTAGAGCTAATATTCATTATAATGAATTTCCTTCGTGGATTTAAGATGCCGCAATGTTTTGTCAGCCACTAGCTGCGATGCCCGTATGTCTGTCTTAAGTAAACAAAGCCAGGGGCAAGGCTATTGTTGATACTGGTAAAAGGGTTCCGAGTAGTGCGTCGGACATCAACTGTATGATAAAGAACATAGGGTACACTGACCTAAGTGACAAGCAGTTGTTTTAGACATCTGTGCCTCGCTTCGTAAACGGGTTTATTGCTTGTCAGCTTTAGTACGTGTTTGGTACTGTGATTAATTGTCGCCGTTGCTGAACATGTACGATGTGCATTGTAAATTCCTATAAACATTGTCTGCTTCTTGAAGACCTGGGTCGTAAGCGGCGCGTCAAAATCGAAATTACCTTAGACTGAATCACGCTGAAACAATAAGGATGCCAATTCGTGTGCGTTAGCTTTTGCTCCATTTAACGTGGACGATACGAGCTGTATAAACTTTATGCAGTTCATCCGTTATTCCTTAAACTGGCTTTCTCCTACCTGTAGCTTTTACTAAGGAACAATAAGCCACATCGCAGTTTTCTTGCCTTCGCATCACCGTTGACCATTGCTTTGTTCAAGGCGAGTGCTTATTCGGGTGCGGCTTCTGTTGCGCCGTTAAAACCGACACAAAGTGAATATGACGGCAACGCGAGCCCACCAGAAGATTTTGTTCAGTTCGCAGTGGCCCGTTGCTGGCAAACGCACAGACACACGGCGTCTTCATGTTGTCCTGTTGAGACTTCCACATCATTCACCAGGTGGTGGACCATAAAAAGCTGCGGACTGTGAGTCTACTTTTGGTATTTGCTGATGTATCGCTATCTGTTTTTCGATGGAAAATTGCTAAAAATCTTATTCAAAGCCTTTCGAGCCGGATCACGACCCCTCAAACGATCTAGATCAGTTATGTTATATACTATTTTCGTAGACAGGATACGTTCGACACTCATTAATGGAGGTGTGTTATAATTGTTGAGCTCGATTTCATAACAATATTCGTTTTAGCGTCCGCCGGAGGAGGCCATGTTCCTCGAAGCTAGACAGCTATCTAAGCAATACACTGATAAGAAAATGTCGATACTTTGCTGGCCGTTAAGGCGTGTACGTATCAAAATTTGTTAGGGAAAAATATAGACCGCGAATCATCTGGTAACTGGTAGGATGAGTTTGACATGTTGTCATTGTATATAATAAGGTCATTCCATTGACATACTCATTTTGCATTAATAAAAAAAAAGAATGAGAATTTCCGTTAAGTCGTAGGGGAAATTGAAACTCGAGGCTTAGCGTTCCACTACTGCCAGACTGTAAGAGCAACACGCCTTGTGCGTAGAGACTTCGTTCCGACGTACTCGCTGCGTCGCGTCTCTGCTTAGCCGCCGCTTTCGCAGCAACAATTGACGTTCTGTGTGCTTAGAGATTTCTAATTTGGATGAGTTCATTAGAGATAAAAGAAACAAAGAATGTTTTAATTTTATCGATATGGTTAAAATCGATAAAAGCGCCTACATTCCTTGATCGTGTGTTGTAGATACTCTCAAAAACCTACATCACGGAAGCTGAACAGCTCGGAGGTGAAAACTTTTACCTGGAGCTTTATCTCCTTGTCGACTTTTTTGGCATAGCGCAATTTCGGGTCTTAATTACTTAGCGTTTTGTCTAACTTGTGTTCATGGTGCACAGGATCTTTTTATCAAATAGATTCAATTAGCTTACCAACAGAAACTAATGTAAATTTTCTATATTGTTTTGTCTTAGGTTGCAAACGGTGGACACAATGTGAACCCTAGAACAAAAATGCCCTTATGCATGGAAATATTGTAAAACTCGATGTGGTTGTGCTGGTATCGGAAGTCTCGAACGCATTAACCCTAACTAAAACTGGGGCAACGACTCCGAATCATGGAGGATGTGCCGAGTCGTTTCAACAGGAACCACCCTTAACAACTCTTACTCTTATCGATCTTTGAACACATGTTACACATTTCTGGAACGCTCAATCATTGCGACCACTCAGAAGCCAAAGATATTCAAGCACTTATAAACACAAATTAACAAACGCCACTCTTATATACAACGAATTCAAGCGTATATATACATATATATATATATATATATATATATATATATATAGAAGGTATAGAGGGCCGAAGGGAACCAAACAACAAATACATCCCATTTATCTATCAAAGACACGAAAAAAGTCAGTCCGGAACTTTGTGCACTAAAGGCGCGCCATCCAATTGTAGCAGCCGCTGCTAACAGGTGTAGCAAACGCCACGTAAAAAGTGATACAAATGGGAGAAAATCGTAACCAGCAGAAATAAATAGAAACATAAAGTTCGGCCCAGCACGAGCTTATGACTTCAGCTTACGAGGCACCTATATAGGTTGTGCTTGGTGGATCTCGCAGTTGCTTCAGTAGGGACAATGCCAGCTGTGATGGTTACGGCGCAGATAGAGACGTTCGAACGTGGCTCCACGCCATATCTATAGACATATATACACAGAGTTTATACCGGTGAGACAAAAAGGAATTAAACGCAAAAAAAGGCCATTAACGAACTACTAACGGCGACGATAAGGGTAGCAACACTAATAATAGAGGCAAAAACTAGCAAGACCATATCGGCCGCCACTGCGTCATCCGTTATCGTCGAAGCCGAGAAATAATCGTATCAATCGACTTGTAGTAATGATTACAACAGCAGCAAAATAAAGTCTAGTTAAAGCCAGAAATCTACTTTACTGTGCAAGATGCCACAGCTACAGATTCGTGAGGAGGACGTTATCTGTCTCGTGCTTGAGTTCCTGCAGAAACGAGAGCTTGGTAAGTAGAGAGCTGCTTTACCTGCCAGCTAATTTATACATGATAAGTTTGTACTCATTGTTGTCCTACATAGTCTTCTAAAAACCGTTTGTTGTGGACGTACAGAAACAATTGAGAAGCAGATATTTTTTTTATATTTGCGTACTGCTAAATGTGTATAAAAAAATTGATTGGATTTGCGAATTCCTCTTATGGCAGACTACCCGGTCGCAGTCGGTGGGTGCATGGAGTTTATTCTAATAATAAGTTTCTCTACCTTCTGTCTGATATTAGGTATTAGCCAGCTGGCCCTTGAACGTGAAACAGGACTCGTAAATGGCGTCTTCTCGGACGATCTACTTTTTTTACGACAGCTTGTCCTTGATGGTCAATGGGACGCCGTGCTTGACTTTGTTCAACCGCTTGAACACGTAGAGAGCTTTGATGCTCGGAGATTTAAATATGTCGTCCTGAAGCATAAATTCCTTGAACTTTTATGTATTCGGGGAGAGACAGGTTTAATTCAGGTAAATCAAGCAGTTAAATCTGTGTGTATTTTCTGTACCTAAAAATAATAGCCAGTCTGATAATGGAGACATTTTTGCACTCTATCGTATGATAGTAGTAAGAAGAGAAATAATGTAAAGTCAGAACAAACAATACAACACGTAAACAATTAATAACACAAACAGCCGATATTCGCGCAGGGCTTTCAATAGAGCGACAGCGATGAAACCAATCATAAATAAGGAATGTAAGAATTTCACTCTGTTCCATTCTATAATTTTTATTTTTATTGAAAAATGTTGGATTTGTATATGCCTGCACAAAAAAGCGAAGTAACTTTGCTTCTAAATCTGTTTTTCCTGCTACAGTTCAAGTCGTAAGTTATGTTTTATTAAAGGACTTACATTAACTTTTCGTCCCAGGTTTTTTCTCTCTTTGTCTGTCATTAATTAAAAAATAAAAAAATACACGTATTTAAATATTCCTGCCATTGTTTATAGAGCAAATAATATAATATTATACGATACGGAAGTAAATATCTTTTGCCTTTATCGCGGTTGTCATAGCAAAAGGTTAAGGATCTTCCGTTGATAATACCGTTGGATAGGCGCTAGATTAGCTGATGAGTTTAGACTTGTTATACAAAGATATTACCGATGCGAAATATCTAGAAGGCGCTCCATATCTCTGTTTCAGCCGCAAGAAATGAACGTCGACGAGATGGTGTCTACGTTGAATGATCTCGAAGCGGTGGCTCCATCTAAGGAGGCTTACAACTCTTTATGTCTCCTATTAGCTTACCCAAAGCTATGCGACCATATGGACTATAAACACTGGAACCCCAGTAATGCTAGGTTTGTGTATTGTTTTATAATTTCATATTTCAAAATATCATACATTTTGAAAATGTAACTGTTCTATTTGCTAACCTTGGCTGTCTCTACATTCTCGTTAATCTACATCATAGAATTGGGCAGTTCTGCAAATTATCTTTTGCCATGAATTGATTCTATATACAGCAATCTATTACCAATCGACATACAAAAATATTACCAATCTATTTTATCGGATAAAATAATTTTTTTTTGCAGAATCCGCTGTTTTTCGCAGTTATGTCCGCTAGTTGAGAAGTTTCTACCAGCCCCAGGTAGTGCACAAGTGATGGCAGGAGGTGGAAGTGCTACTAGTGGTGTGCCACGACACTCAAAGCACGATCGTCTACTCCAGCTGGTTATCAAGGGTCTTGTTTACGAGGCCTGCGTTGCCTTCTGCCAGAACCGGGCAACGGCGGAGAACGCAACCCCGGAGAAGGCCGGAGCTCAAAAAGTGGATGCCGCCTCGAGAATCATTCAATTCGGAACTGTCTTCAGCAATTCCAACGGTAAAGCTGGCTGTTCATATCTTTTCACAGCACTCTATTTAAACCATTTTGAGGAGGAAATTTGTTGTCGCACTTTTAGTGGAGCACATATAGAGAATGACATAATAGAGACGAAGCCGGTTTCCATCAGCACAATTTGCGCATATTTATATTTTTACTTACAAATGCACTATTAGTATTGATACTAATTATATACATACGTTACGTTCGCAAAACGGTGCAGGATTTTCTGGTGCGGACTTAGGCCTTTTCTCCTGGTTGCAAGCTCTACCCAACGAATCGTTCAGCCACCCGTTCGAGCAGAAGACGCTGAAGATTGATGTTGCTCAGATGGAAAAACCGGTTTTGGACGCCCAATGGGCGGAGCACATTTTGGGAACGCCGGTGAAACCACGAGCTGTGTTCCCTCACTCACACGTGCCCTTCCAGAGGTCACAGGGTGGCCTAGAGATGATGTCTCGATCACTGATGATGCTAACATCGATGGAACAGAGTCGCCTATCCCTCTCAGGCATTTTGTCTGGTTCCACTTACGGGGACCTCTCCAAGAGCAGTTTCCACCTGACCGGCGCAAAAGTCATGACAACGTCCGTCGACAAGTTGTTTGCTAGTACGACTGACCTTGCTCTTAACCAAAGCACGACGAAGCTTAATAGTGAATTCCAGGCCAGAACGCAGGATGAAACGCCCCCGAAGACGTCCCCAGTTCACAAAACCTCGAGGGTGGTCAGTCCAGTACCGGTCTCGATGCCGCAACAGGAAGACACCGACACAAATGTCCTTTGGAAAGAATTCCAAAAGCAACGCCAGAAGCTGGAAACCCTCGTCGAGGATGTGAAAACGCCCGCAACCGATGGCACGCCACGGCAAACGGCGCAGCAGAAAGGCCAAACAAACAAATCTTCTAATAACAACGTCACTACTCAGATCCAGAATACAACACCAAAGAAGACGAAGTTGGGAGCGTCACAAGTCAATCAAATACAGGAACCTATTCCACGAGGTTAGTCCATTAACTAATATGGAGATAAATTTGATTATTGGCATAAATAGGGCACCGGACGGACCGCCTTGAGGTCTCGAATTTGATATGCAGCCGAGACTCAAATGATTTCGATTGGTAACTCGGCTTATCGCACAATGACGCTTGACCAGTGTGAATATCATTTGCTAGCTTCTCGTCATATCTCCAACATTGGTCCCTACAACGGCATAGGCATTATCGGGCTATGCTCTAGGTTTATTGGTTTAGGCGTTGCTTTAGAAGATGGAGGATGGATATTATCTAAATCATTTTCAGAAGTATTTCAGTAAGTTTAAGTAGCACTTGTTGCTAATACGGTTGTAGTTCCGAAAATGTTCTATGCAGGAGTTATTGATTGTCTACTAATATTTTTCCCGCTATACACCTTGATTTGCGTATTAGGGAGAGGCTTTTACCTCAAAGTATTGGCATTTCTCATCTAACCTAGTGACGTTGGCATTTTTGCAGTCCTAAATTCATTAAACTTCGCTTTTAAGCAGGTATGTACTTTGCCGACTTCTTTCAAATAACAACAACGTTCTGATTGTTGCATCTAATATAGTGGCTGTGGGATCGATCCCACTCCCCGCAGCTCCGTTCTACACCTCCCACGGGCCTCCCAGTTCGCACTCACCAAGTATGACGTCGCCAACGACGGGCGTCATTACTTCCTTGAGGGATTCCAGAGCTTCGCAGGTACGTTGAAATTTAGTTTGTGTTTATTAGCGCCTATTATCAGTAGGTTAGAAAAGTGCAATTTTACTCTTTACTTTCCTGAGCTGCGTACTTCCATTAATGAAAAGAATAGAAATTTTACTGACAAAACTAAAAATACAGCAGAACATCAATTAGATAAGAAGTGCTTATGTAACATGTTGCTGGGAAAAGTCATACTTAACAGGCATCGTATGTCGTGTACAAAATAGTGACTGCAAAATGTGAACAAAACATAACGTAAATCCTTATATTACTTCCTCTAAACCCAAAGAAGCAATAAGATCCGGTAATGAGATGTTTTAAAGTTAATTGTTTTAAGACCTTTTATAGTATATTGAAGATTCTTGGAACTGTTCCGCTAGGTAACTGTGTTTCAGTCGGAGCGACGAGATGAAGACAAACGGCGAAGTATCATTGAACGTGAACGCGAGAAAGAGGATGAACGATTGTCTTCCTCGAGGAGCTCTTGCAAGTCCAATGAGACATCCTGGTGAGAGAAAATGCGATGATGCATGTATTTCTGTTGTAATTATTACCTGTCTATATGTAGACTTCCTTACTGTTGTCATGTTATTGATGCTGTTATTGTTATTAATATTAGTAGGTCAATATAAAAAAAAAATATTTTTTTGCATTGGATCAGTTTTAATTTCATAATCAAACGCAATACATTAAAGAACTAACCGGATTCGTACACTAGCGTAAAGTTGTGCTACGAATTTGTGTAAAATTCTATTTGTAGTCTGCTTCCAAACTGGTATATCGTTTTGGTTACAGGCTAGTAACCTTTAAAAACTTCGAAAATATTATTCGTTGGCATGTAGAAAGTATAACAGATTTGTTTAAAATTATACTGATTAATTGTTTGTGAGTTATTGACTAAGTGCTTGCTACGAAATATTTGCTGGGCTCTATAGTTCATGATGTGGCTAATGCAGATTGATGAATTTATGGAGTTACTTTTCGTTGACCCACTAGATAGTATATAGATACTATTAATTGCTTATTTGTTCTTTAAAAGGATTTTTTTATTATGAAGTTCTATATCCAGCCTTTGATAAGTGATCGTTTAATAGTAATTTACATTAGAATGCCAAGATCGCTAGTGAGTGTCGAAAGAAACTTCCTTTTGCTACTAACATAGAATTTGAAATAATTTTTAAAACACGCGATAATCTTGTTGATACGCGTCATCCTTGTTTTCCTCATTATGAAACAAAAAAATCTCGCGTTTTGAAGCAAAAAAAAAATCATGGACTTAAAAATGTTATATTCAGTAGAATTTTATCATTGAAGCTCTCCATGTCTTAATAGCAGAAAATCTAGGGTCACATCTAAGAGAACATCCTAGCTTAAACTCAGGGAAATGCATTCTGGGCGGCAAGTAAGCATCTTTTTAGGTGAGCTGCTCGGGCTTCAGAGATAATCGAGCCCTTAAATTGAACAGACATAATACCAGAAGAGGATTTCATAACTAATAATAATAATGTGTCTACATTTATCTTGTTTCTTTATGTGATCTTGCATAAATAAATGTATCTGCAATGTATAGATTTGCTTCTTAGAGATTAGTCTGCATGGACATGCATAGTTCTGTACAATTTTTTTTATCCTACTGCATGTTATAATTACGTCAAAACTGTGAGTGCAGATAGACATAATATTAGGTTGGGAGTTCTAGCGACAAATTAATTTTTGCATTCGCCATCATCAAACCTTCTCCCATTTGTCAATCAGTGACTGCTTGATGGAAATGTTTAGATCCGGTATTGAGGAGCTCCTCCAACAGGTTTTGACATCCTCGTCATTGTCAGACGTATGGTTCATAGCTTCGTTTGCCAATGATTGAAAGAGATGGCAATCCGTCAAGGTGAAGTCTACAGGATATAAATGCAAAAGAACTTCCGATTCAGGTTCTTGCAGAGTGGCTTTTATAATCCTTCCCAAGCTTTGGCTGGCATTCTAGGGGGGAAGGATGACTTTAGTTCGTCTATCGGGTCTTTTCCGTTGGATAACCTCTTTTACTCGATGCAACTAGGCGATATATAAATCCTTGTCGAGTGCCGTGTTCCTCTCAGGTATTTCCCAGGTTGAAGGCCAATCAATGCCTTCTTGGGATGAAGACCCAGTTTAGCTCAGAGCTACCCATTCCTTTCCATGCCTTAAATCGACTTAGAGATATTTCTCCCCATCACCGGTGACAATTCTGTGTAGAAACTTGTTACTGCGATTGCGTATTTTTCGAAGCTAGGCAACGTTTTAAGAGGCAATGAGAAATCACGTTTCATTTAGTTCATAAGATACCCAAGCTGTAATCTTTGAGTGAATTCCAAAATTGTCTGTTGACAGTCTGCAGTTCATCTTCTTGCCCAGTTTACGAAATTTTTTTGGAACCTAAAGTTGACATAATATTTCGTTCATTGCACAATTAGATCATAACGGGCTTACAGAGAAAGAGGGAGAAAGCCTTTTCGAATACCATACGTAATGAAAGTAAATAATCAGTGGAGAGGCGAAAGGGAAAGGGAACGTTACAAAGACACCGAACCTGTTTATGTTCTAATCTGATGTTTTTGGGTGTTTCAATAGTTTCCGAAAATCAATTCTCGTCCTCAAATCCTTCGTGCAGGTATATATTTCATTCGAGGTCGGCAAGACAGATTAAATACCTTTCGATAAGGTACCCAGCAGAACTTTGTTTCAAGACAAACAAATTCTAGCTGCAACTCATAATAATAAAAATAATGATACAGCAACTTCAATTTTTTTTGACACTTGTTCACCTCATTGTTCGCAGTGGTTCAGGGTCTAGGTAGATTAATTAACAGCAAAATAGCTCCGAGTGATTTTTTCAAATTGATTTTTTCAAAAAAAATATTCAAAAAAAAAGACATAAATCTTCACATTGAAAAATGATAGTATTATAATATTATTTCGGATTGCTTTATTACAATAGTGGTGAAGGGACTTTGGTGGTAGGTTGGCACGTAGTAATCTAAAATAGATGGGCGAACGCATTGTAACTGCGTTAGCCTTGACCTCCGTAGGTTCTTATTGGCAGACAGATTATTCTTCGAAGTTTAAAGAATAGGCAACTTTGGTGACATAAGCTAGAATATAATTGAATAAAAACCAAAACAACTGAAGTGCCACATTGTCCACTAGATAAGATGTTAAAAAACTGAAGGGTAGCATGTTCATCAAGTTTTATCCAAATGTTTGACGAATAAGTGATAGGAAGTTACAATAAAGAACGTTATTTAACGCTCAATAGGAATATGGCAGACACATTTCTCACCTCAACGTATGTACTTGACCCTTTTTAGCTTAGTAAAAAAAATATATATAATATTATTCCGTTCTTTCTGGAAGAGCGTATCTTCACATTTATTATGTACTTGAAGTTCTGTAAGTACGTCAATATCTGCGGGTATCATCGATATTAATTTAGTCTAACCCTAAGCAATGTTTTAGGCTCATCTCAACGTATTTTAAATTGCGCAATTGCGGCATGCTATAGTGAGCGTAAGCAACCAGTTAATGCAATATGGGTGCCATAAAACGTTAACCACTAGCGTATGTCTGAGCTGATTTTCCATACAGGACTTGATATATATATATATATATATATAGAAGTCGATAGAGTTAACTTAGTCTCTCAATATATTTTATCAACAATATGTTGTCAAGTGCAACAATGTCACTACGTCATAGTGAAGGGCATTGTATTAGGTATGCTCGAAAATAAAAGTCATGCGGTCTGGCGTAAAAGTCCGTTACTTGTGTTGTATCAGAGTTCTGTATCAGAGTATGCATTATAGATTTGCGCATATACTTGTTCCGTATTGATTTCCTATTGAAGACGTTCGTTTACACATGGGTCGCTAGGTTTTTTTAGGTTTTGCTGTATCCAAGCCTAAAGCCCGTATCCGTGTTCAGTGTCTGAAATAAAAGCTAATTGGTGATTACCGGTTGTTCGGTGACATGATCTCCTGAATAAGATGTGCCTTGCATCAAGCAGACATGATCTGTGAAGCACTGTAACACAACTACTTGGACGACCTAGCGTGACCCTTCTTCTTGTCGCCCAGCGCTAGTTGTTACGGGTGACGCCCACTGACAGTGGTGACACTTGAAGCAAGCAATAACCAGATCTAGCTTTCGAGCGTGACAGTTCAGTGCTGGGTAGCTTAACAGTTTTGTACATGCCCAAATTGGACCATAATAACACTCCGACGTAAATTACAAAATGCACTAGCAATTTGGCTCATCCATGATCCATGGCCATGCAGTCGATTTTGTACGCATAAGTGCATGGTTCAGTACGAAATCTAATATGCGTGCGTTTGGCACCACAACAATATCCATTTGCTTTAATATGAGTCATACGATCTGATGTCACTCAGCTAAGCAGATCAGCTCATGCGTACGTCTGGCAGAGTCGGCTGCAACAACTTTTTAGTGTAACATATATTATATATATATAATACGACAGGTAAAGTAGCGGGAAACAATATCGTCTAGAATGACATAATGATTTGCTGTAGGCGATCGACACTCCTATTTGAAGCTTTGATGTAAACCAGCGAGCTTTCACCATATGTTCCTATCGTACTCGATTGGGTTTATTGTTCATGGAGTCTTCCCCGTCCTAGTTACGTTTACTCTTCACTGTGATTTTGAGAACTTTTTTCGCTGATCCAGTGTTACCTCGTTTACTGGAGGAGGTTTTTCTACCCGAGACGTGTATACTTTGCTATCGTTAACATCGTTGGCGAACACATTACCAATTAGCAGGCTTTGTAGTAGAAGACGCATGTAAGGCAAATCCTTTAAGCAAAGGGCGAACAGTGAACCGAATGATTGCCAAATAAAATCAAGCCACCTCACTACGTTTATGGTAATGCTTGTTCATCTACGTTCAGTCTAAGTACGCATAGAAGTGATGAAGTAAGTATGTGAGGTTATCTTTGAAGCCATCGTAGGAACTGGTACAGGTATTTCGAGTGAATACGCCAACCAATTATATATATAAATCACTCTATTCTTCACCTTGATAACATGTGCTAAAGCTTTTCGCAATCATTAGTTTATACCTAAATACGAAGTTAGACAAAATGCTGAGATTCTACCCAACCATGTAAGAAGTATTAAGTTCTAAAAATGCTTTGATTATCCTGTTATAATCCAGCAAAGAAAAAAAACGCCTTTAAGATTTTTTGAAACGACTCAAACCCAGCACCGATACTTCCCTTTCTTCTTTTATTAGGCATGTTTGATTCATATGTATCATATTTAATGATTTATGGTCGCAATTATTTTTTCCTCACATGGTCAGTCTTTGCTGCCCCGACGCCGAGAATGTTTGTTATCTATTTGACTAGCACTTTTCGCCGTGGAAAGCGGAAACGCTATTTTTATGTGAAAAATGTGTCTGTGAATGTTTCGGAAAAATCTAATCTCAGCAAATTTTATCTGTTGTCGATCTATTTTTGTTAAGTCGTAGCCGCAATCAAAAACATTTGGGGGCGGCCCAACTAAGAAGAAATGGTCGCTGTTTAACTTTGTTGCGGATCGCTGGTTTTCCCTCTTGTAGTTCTTCTCCTTTTTGCCTTGCTCCTTTGTTCTCGATTTATACTGTGCGTTGATTATAGTGCCTGCCCTCTCATCGCTTGCATTCACTTGCGTATTTATTATAATAACGGCCAGTAGATCTGCTTTATTTAGCTGTTTCTTGCTTTGCGCGGTGTGGGATGGGAGTAAAAGCGCCGCCGTCCCTGTTCTTCTACTTGCGATTCTATAGCAAATATATGTAGTCTACACAATATTCGTTCGTCCGGCCGGCGTCGAGCAGTCCAGACTGAGGGTTGACATGAACACATACAGAGGCCTGCACGGACGTTAGGAGATCTAGTAAATATTTGCAATAACCACCTTTAGCATAGCCTCTGTAAATTCCAATAATCACTAGTACTATCTATTAGGGCATCTGATTATAACAACCTAACCTAGGTTGCAGCCGAGCATTAGCTCTGCTAGCAATGATGTCTAGCATCCAATTGGACCTGTAATATGTAAGATCTGTCGTCTCTTCTTTAATGTTTCTTTTTTACTTGCGTTGTTGTTAGGTTAAGAACTAAATAACGATGAACGATACTAAACGCTTGTTAGATGAGAAATCAATCAGCCAGTTGAACTGCTCAACGTAATCGTATCCGGGAGTATATAGAGTTTACACGTGTTGATGCGATACCTTTCTGACCTAACTCATAGTCACGCTAGCGTCTAATTAGACTGAACGAGGTATTGAGAAAACGAAAGGCGGATTATCCCTAGAACTAATAATCCTTCCTATGCAAACAGAACAGTACCTTTCAGAAATATACCATACTTTTTACATCAGTATCAATATGGAACTCAAAAGATAAACTTCATCGGGAGCATGAGCGGTTACGAACCGTTACAGGTTAGTAAAAGGCGTTCTGATGATCGCGTTAAGCATCTGCAACATATGCTAGGTTAAATAATAATTGTAACTGGTCGTGATAGCAGGTGTATGTATGTATGCATACAATATGCAGCCAGATCTAAGCCCTTTGAGAGCGCTCAGCCACCCGTCGAGTTAATAACCAGCACGGCTAGTGACGTACGATTGTACGTTGCACGTATCTTTGAATGTTCCTACCTTGTAGCTCCCGTGACATATAGGTTCATTTATTGGTAGGGGTAACAGGGTAGATTCGTCTGCGAACGAACCCTTTTTTATAGCGTAGCAAGATACCCAGATAGCATAATGGCATAAAACGAATGCGGGGGCGGAAGTAGCTCTTGAGTGTGTACTATACGCGGAGAGTAGTGTTGCAAACAGCGCCTGGGTCTGGTCGTTAGACTGACCAATGCCGGCGGCAGTTGTGGTGACAACAACTGCGATAAACCGATCTCGCGATAGTACCACAGCTATTGCTATTGCCGTCGGTGCTACTCGGTTTAATTCATCAGTTAGTTGACCTCTTGAAATATTCTTATCACATTTCACGCTTCGCGTGGTCTGGGGTTTAATGCTGATGTTGCTCCAGCGGGTAGCCGACTGGCGCTACATCAGATAGAACAACGTCTTGTTTTTCATGCTCGGTACTTAAACTGTTAGGCACTACTTCAGATGAGTGGTTCTTCCCAGTACGAAAGAAGTGTGTCTCTGCCCAGAGTCGAACATAAACCAATAAGTGTTTCCTAAGCAACACACGTTACTCCAATGCGCAATCACGATCACAGCGCCGGTGCAATCTGGAAGGAAGCAAGAAAGAGCACGCCGAAGGCCTAGAACGAAGCCGGTTCTTAAGCGTTGGCGGTTAGGTCAGCAGGCGGTAGGACAGCAACGAAAATGATGATAGCACTGGCGATGTTGATACGGACGACGCCGAACGAGCAATCAAGAGGTGTCTAGCAAAATATTAGAAGTTCTGGCGAAAGTGTCTGGCGTAGTAGTGATCGAACTGTGATATTAAATTGGTGCGTAAAAAATGGCACTTTTTTTTTTAACTGCTTTTTGCTTCGGTGCCTTGTGTGCTAATAGTGCGGGACGAGGCGTGTATAGCGTAGGATGCCGTTCAGTAGGGGTGAGCCAAGTTTCAAAATGACATTATTCTACCTAAAAGATGTACTCGACTCGCTTTTCGTCATTTTTAAAGAAAGATGATTGTTTTAGATTACATCTTTTAGCTACAGATTGCAAGCGGTACAAGTACTCTGGCTTGCTTTCGTAGTTTTTGCACAATGTGGAAAATGTAAAACAAAATAGATGCTAAAAATATTAGAGTCGAAAGAAGAAGAACAAAAATTCGTAGGCAAAACGACGACGACGACAGCCGTGTGGGGTGAAAGTAAAAGCTTGCCGGCACACGAATGCCAACATGCCTAAAATTGAAGAAGGAAAGATATGAAATAAACAAGTTTCGTTTATACAATAATTTAACATATCAATAATTAGTTAACATATTTACGTGACGAGCCATGGTGGAAAATTGTATCATCTACTCTCTCTTATTACAATACACTCATTACGCCATACGAAAAATCCTAGCAGCATAAAAAGTGATGACCGTTAGCTTTTGTTTTGGTTTTATTTCTGTTTACCGAAATTATTTTTCTGGGTTATAGCCCTAGCTTCGTTAACAGTGAAGTGTTTCTCTTCTAATTAAAGTGTAGTTTACTTTGATAAGGCCAAAAAGCGTAAAGACAACGTGTTTCTTACCTAAATCTCATATCGTTTACAGGTCCTCTGGCAAAGGATCAACGATGCTGCAAACTTGTCCCACTGGACCTCAAGAGCAAACACAACAACAGAATAGGGTGAGTACATGGACTCTTTTGCAGGTGTGGTATTGGCTACTATGTTTCTGTAGAAATCCTAGCCTGATTTTACGAAGAGTATGAAATTGTCATGCTCTTTTTTTGTTGTCTTTTCTCTTACTGTCGTTGTTCAGTATGCAATAGCTAGACGATAATATACGTCACTTCATTTGGCTTAAGCTGCTTGATATTTGAACTATTGAAAAGTAAGGTTAGAAAATGAGGCGCTAACTGGGATTAAATTTCGGTGGACATATTATCGATTCTTGGAAATCTTAAGCAAGCATCAAACATATCATCAGGGAAATTCTGTTGGGACCACTTTGTTTTGGTGCCCAACGACGTTTTGAAATTTTAATAAAAACATGAAATTACAACAGCCTGTAGAAACGACAAACGTCCATCTGTACTTTGTAAAGTGCGTCGTAAAGTGAACTATATGTATACAACAACAACAACAAACCTATGTACTTACGTGTCGCTTCCTGATTTCCTCAAGCATCGTTTATGGAAATTATGGAAATAAACATTATTCTTGATTATCGTCTCATGTTAGTGTTTTAGTTATTTTCGCATCACATTATATTGTTGTATCAACAATGCTGTGATGGTTAGCGAACGAGTCCATCACATGCACGTTCTCTTCGTCGAAGTATGTAGGAACTGCAGGATGAGCGTCACCATCAAGCAAATAATTGTCTCTGGTACCACTGTTGTAAGCCTTACCAAATGGTCAGATGTTGCCTACTCAGCGTCGCTTGAGTCGCTAACTTGACAATAGTTGTTCCGTGGAATCATTCTGGACTTTAATATCGTACCAACCTTGAAAAAAAATTCCGTAATTCTTTATTTAACTAGTTCCGCTGAAAAAGGACTCGTGATCAACGGGCTGCATTAATTGCTTCTACTTGATTTGGTCCAATGTTCTGGCCATTGTTTAGGTTTTGAAAGAGTGAAGAGTCCTTAAGAAAGTTTCAAAAGATCTGGAGCTAGATTAATAGAGGCTGGTTTTGGCCCAATCGCAACAATATATCATTGATGACTCCACGTGGGTTAGACTCAACGAGATCGTAGACTGAAACTTTGTTAAAAGAGATTAACAAAATTCAGCTGGAGTTTCTTCCTCTGACGGGCAATTGTGTAACGAGGTTTTAAACTAAGAAAAAGCTTTAAGATTGCATAATATAATACGCAATGTTAGTAATATCGATTATTGAATTACCCAGACACAAAAATCGACTCATGAATCTTACTCATGAGATATTCTGGAACGCGTATTTTAGCTAAACTGACAATTTTCTTCGTGTATACAAGAGTTATTCGAATTTAGGAAAATTTCCTTAAAACGGAAGAAGTCGAGAAAAAAACCTGGCGGCAGACGTCTATGAGTTCCCTGACAGTTTTCTAGCTAAAGCTCTCTGGAGTTCAACTTTCCCCTTCGCAAAAGGCTAATAAGACAAGATGGACGGAGGCGTTCCTATTGAATCGCATTTACGTCTCTTAAAATCGTCACTGTTCTTGGCGCTGTTGGCTGTTAGTTTCTAACTCATCTGTGTACGTTCCGTTCACATGTACCTGAAAAATTTTCCAGAACCCTGAAAAAACAATTTTTCCTGTTATAGCATCCCGAGTTCGGTCTGATGGGCTGTGCGTCATCGAATAGTCCGCCCGATGTAATTTGCGTACAAGTTGGACAATCAATAGGATTAACTGATTTATTTTGTTTTGTTAAAACTTCAGTCTGTTATCCGAAAACAGGCAGACGCTGCAGGCGCCTGGAGGAGAAATGGCGCGCCACTGCCGCCGTTGTTGTTGTTGTTTTTGTTATTGTCTGTGGCCTTCGTTGCCACTGCTGCTTTTCATCATGCTAGCATCATGTCGATGTCAGTGGCTTTCAACTTAAATGAAGCGCTGACGATTTACTTTTGAAGGCAAGAAGCACTACGCTAGGCAGGGGCGCAGGCAGGACGCTGTAAAGACCGGCGATGGCGATAGCAGTGTTAGCAACGGGCGGTTAATGGTCGTGGTTATCGGGCAGACGCAGTAGCAGCGTTATATGTGGCGGCGACGACGACGACGACGACGATGTTCCATTCTGTTAAAAATAGTGGCGGCAGTGATAGTGGGGGGATAGGTAGTGCATTTAGATTGGCAGATGGTAGAATAACTGTTGCTCTATGGCCATTTCTCCTACGACTATCTGCGTCATTTTGCCTAAAGCTCGTGCCTCTTGTACAACGAGTTTACACGACGTGAGAATATGGACGCCGCCAACAATCACGAAGATGACTTGAGATCAGCGAGCGATTGGACCAAAAGAACTGTCTGCAGGAGGTTGGAAAAAAAATTGAGAACTTAGCTGAGTGAACTATAGCGCACGAATGTGTTAAGACTTGCGGAAAAACGAACTTATATGTTGCAGCTATGAAGTATCGTTCCATCCATGGGTGCCCATTCATCCTTCTGGTTAGTAGCAATCTTGTCTTTTATTATATTTATTTTCTTTCTTTGGTCTACTGTAAGGCCAGGCGATGTTAGCTTTTGATTCGTTTCAATAATGGCATAAAGGATTGCTAAAAGGAAGAGCGAAAATATCAGAAATAAAAAAGTGAACAATAATTGAAAAATAGAACTTACTTTAGGAGTTTAATTAGTTTTTAGTCAGGCCCACCGTTGTGGGATGCCGAGTAGGAGTTCTCAGTAATGAATTATAAGCTTGTTGTCATCGTATTCTTCAAGGTTTTAGACATCGGCCCACTAAGCGTAGTTAATTATGATAATTCCCTGACAAATTTTCAAGCTCATGATAGTCCCTTAGCGGATTACACCTGCCTGTACGAGCAGAGTATATTTATTTAATAGCAAATAGCGTGGAGATAAAAAGTTTCCGCTTCTGCAAGTCCCGCCAACGACGCAGAACTACACAATTTGTATGAGTAGAGAACGTTATTTGAATAGAAATTATATAATCATACCAACCTCAAACAGTCTCTCGTGGGCTCGTTTGTTTGGCGTTCCAATAAGCGTGCTTGTGAGTTGAAGTATTTTGAGAAAATCGTCGATCAATTTGCGGAAAAGGCTAACTGGATGATATCTGCTCCACTGTGTCATTCAATTTCGACGTTTTGTTGACATTTTTAGCAGCAGCAGCAGCAGCAGCTGTAAAGTGTAGTGAAATCTTTACGCCAAAGTTAAAATCTGCTATCCATATTTATTATTTCAGCTCATATATACGAACGAAAGAGCAAATCATGCCATAGACTAACAACATTTTTTTTTAACTTTATACGCGTCGGTTAGCTCTAGAGATGAACAAGAGAACTGAATTAGCTGAGCCTATCCAATTTGGAATAGACTCAGCGAGGCAAAGCTCTGCTTTTTGTTATTAAGAAGAGTCTGTAATTGGCAGACACGTCTAACTTTTTGTCTTCTGGTTATCTAAGCGAGAGTTCGGATGGATGGGATGCGCGCCAAGCGTTTCGCCTACTCATGTAACGAACGACGTGAATGGAGCAATGAACGATTAGACGATCCAGCGACGAACTCGTCGGCTTTCTTCTTGCTTACGTCAATGAACATTTTGGATTCATCGAAACTATGAGCGAAAAAATATTCGAAGCAAACCAAAGACTGGTTCTCTAACTCTCCCTGGGTGTGGAAAGGCTGGGTAATTGCTCTGTGGGAATATCAGGGTGAAGGGGTGGTGGCGGTTCAATTACTAACACCCAGGGGCTCGAATAAAACCCGCGCCTTGATTACCATGAGTGACGTAACAGATGGAACCATCGGGTTCAAAAACCCTTTATGCTCTGGCTAAAAAAGGTTCCGTTAGGGGAATGGGGGGGACAAGCTAACATACCTTCACAGATCATGTGATATGCAAAAGGCCACGATGAAGACAGATAGGGAACACCCACCAGAAGGAACTTGCGTTTTCATTTTTGCTGACTAACGATTTTTTAGCCTTTCCTTCTCTTGTCCTTCACCTCTTTCTATTAATATAAAAATTTTACACAGAAAAAAACAAAATCAAAATTGTTGCGACCATAGATCATCACGAGAGATAGAATGAAAATAGATAAAATAGAAAATACGACAAATCGCAAGAGTTATCGTATAAACCTTCATATAAATTTCTGGTAAATAAAGAGGGTTCCGATGAAAAAATCTGTCGTTCTCTGTAGGCGTCTTCGAACTTGTATGGGGATTGAATGAAGATATATCCATCCATACAAGAAGAATTTGCAAAGCTTGTACCATTTGTAACGTGTTTGTAACGACTACTCAGATAAGATAAAGCGAATAAGAAGTTCTGTATACAGGAACAGATATAAGTGGGAGTTTGCAAAATTGCATCTCGTCACGGAATTGTTGAACCTAACTAGCCTGTAATTATTAAGCTTACATAAATTGGTTGTGAATTCTCTGCATTATGTGTCATTCTCGTTTATAATTACGATTTCCAAAGTCATTACAGATTAGAAAAATTCTATCGGTAAAAACTAGCAAAGATTATACATACATAACCAGTGATTTTTTTGTTATACAATAATGCCTTAAGCGCGATACCATTGAGTGATTCTTTTTAACTGTAAACAATTTCCGCTTCGCTTAGCACCAGCTGTCCTCGTTTTTTTCCTGACAACCCGTCCATCACAAGAGATTATGGCGGGTAACAACGATCAACAGCCGCAATTGTTACTTTTGACAAAATATGTCAACATTATGAACGAATATTGATAACAGTGATAATTAAAGTTTTTTTTTTTTGTTTTTTTTGAAGTAAATGAGTAAATAAATACATCGAGATAGATTTAGTTGGCGCTCGGTGGCGCATTTATTCAATGGTTATTGTCATCATCACAAGGATCGTGTTTAACATCATCGAATACCACCATCGGTAGCTCGCACGGCCATTGATCCCCTTATTTCGTCAGACTGGGTTTCTACTGACCGCCGATGTTGAGGCTCTTGTGGGCAAAGGTGGCGGCGTTGCACTG